CTCGTCTTCATCTAATTGAGTATTATTTGCTTGAATATAGTGTCTTAGAGTGCTGAATTCAATTTCTTATATGATATAATAAGTCACTGTTTATACTTCAGGGTTACACAAATATATGAAACTAATAGTCTCAGAAATTTCATAGACGTGCAATATTGATAGTAAGCCATGGTGATCCCCTCCAAATGCAGACAATACTCAAGCTAAGGCGTCGCAAATGTTGTCTCTGGCTCCGTAATCTTTTACTTGAGTTACATTGCCCTCTTTCACAAGCTACTATTGTTTATTGTGATAATGTCAGTGCTGTCTACCTTTTTGGCAACCCGGTACAACACCAGCACACCAAACATGTGGAGATGGATATTCATTTTGTTCGAGAAAAGATTGCTTTAGGTCAAGTTCGGGTTCTACATGTTCCTTCTAGATATCAGGTTGCAACATTTTCACAAAAGGCTTGCCACGAGACTTATTTTTGGATTTTAGATCCAGTCTTAGCGTACGACCTCCTCCCGCTATGACTGCGGGGGTGTGAATGTGTGATAGATATTATAGTATGATAATATTTGTCACAGATTAAGATAATATTTATAGATATTCTGTATCCTTATTGTATGAGGGTTACGATAATTGTAACACTCTATATATATTGATCAATGGTACACACTCCAGATTGAGGAGTTTTCTTGAAGTCCAACATAAAAGATTACGTAAATATAAAACGACTTCAACAAAATTTCAAGTCTGAACAATCATTCAAATATACGCGCGATGTCAAAGTAAAATGCCTGGAATTCACGTAATTGTGTAATGTTTCATTAAACTTAAATACTATTGAAACAACCAAACAATATTAGTATTCTAATAATTGTCTTGTATTTATAATTGTATCAAATTAGCAAACGATATTTTTCCAACACAATTGGCGATTTTTTTTTTTTTTTCCTTTTTTCAACGGCAGTATTGGTTATTGTTTTCCATATGACCATACATGATAGTGGGCTACATCACTTACTTAAGAAGTTTTGGATATACTGAAATGTTTTACGAAGTATAATTGTACGAGTATAAAATAAGATGACTTCAAACTTTCAAACACTAGAAGAAAAAGTTAAAAAGGTACCGGTTCAAAACCCCCCTTTGGCACCGGTTTTAAACCGCGGGGGATTTGAAGGATGCCAAATCCATGAAAATTTGGTACCGGTTCAAAACCGGGGCCAACTAAAGCATTAACCGGTGCTAACTACATGATTACCATGGCGCGATTTATTTATTTTTATTTTATTTTCAATACTTTTGGCACCGGTTCAAAGCAAGAACTGGTGCGAAAAACCCTACTTTAGGCACCGGTTCTTGCTTTGAACCGGTGCCAAAAGTCTCAAAAAAAATTTTAAAAAAACTTTTGGCACCGGTTCTGGTTTAAACCGGTGCCAAAAATACCCCAAAAAAATAAAAAATAAAAAATAAAAATTTGCATTTTTTTCACTTAAATTGATATAGAAACATTAACATACATATAAAGTTACATATTTTTATTAAAAATGACTGTAATATTATAATTTTCGTCCAAAAAAAATTAAATAATCTACACTTATCTCTGATCGACCTTTCTTGCATTTCATTTAACTAGCTGTCCTGATCTTGTGCTGGTGGCTGCTCTGCTGGTTGTGGTTGTGTTTCTGCTCTGATGGTTGTGGCTGTTCTGCTTCTGTGGCTGTGTTTCTGCTATGTTCAAGCTGGCTGGGTGATTCGTTTTGCTTCTATTCAGGCTATCTTGTGCTGGTGGCTACTCTGCTAGCTAATGTGTTGTTGTGTGTTCAGGCTGACCTGCTGCTCTGCTGTTTGCTGTGCTGTTGTTTCTGTTCTGCTGCGCTGCTGTGCCTGTTCAGCAAAAAATAGATGGTGAGAATTGGAGAATCACCTCAATTGTCAAGGATGTGATCACATTCATACTATTACCCCGCCAAAGAGAAAGGACACCTTCATTTTTTATTGTTCTGCTAAAGCAATCCATCATTCCTTTGTAAGGAGTCGAAAGATGACCATATTTTAGCATCTCATTCTGACATTGCATCAGGCTATAGACCTGTTCAATAGGAGCCACAGCTGAGGCTGAAATAACCTGAGACATTCCTTGTAGGATGGCACACGACCCAGGATTTTTTTCCCTTGGGTGTGCTTGCTTCTTTAGAGTAATCAGTGTGGCTCTCAGGCTTAAGGGTGAGGTAGCAAACTAAGGGAAGAGCAAGAGACGCTCTAACCTGAAACTCTGAAAATGACAAAAATAGGACAATTCAATATCAAGAAAGTAAATCAAGCTCCCTAAGGTAGGATGTGCATATGCAGTGAGCTTGAAATTTCTCATAACAGTCACGCCTTGAAGTATAGCACTGTTCAAAAGTGGAATCAACAACAAAACTTGATGACAGGTAAGGTATGGAGTAATCAACAGGCACTAGAAATATGATGGAAGGAAGCAACTAAATCATATGTAGAGAACTAGGAATCAAAGAAAAAGAGATTAAGGCTCTGTTATATTAAATTTTCAATATGTATCTCAAAGAACACAAACCTCATCCTAGATTCAAATAGCAGTCCATGTATTAGTATGTTTCAGTCTCTAAGTTCATTTAATCTTCCTATATACTCCCTCCATCCCATAATTAAGTTAATGTTCTATCTTTTGCAAGGAGATTAAGGCTCTGTTATATACTTTTATTCACCTTATCTTCATTTATATCAGGTTTGATAAGTTCGGATCAGTGCATAAAAAGGCTCAAGGCGCACCAAGGCATTTCAGAAATCCCTGCACCTATGGACTATAATATAAGGTGAATGAAATTCAGATGAAGAGACCTAAGAAGAGTAAAAGGAGGAGGTAAAAAGTGGTCGGGTGCTGGTTCCAATGGTAAGGACTAGGGAAAAGATGTAGAGGGAAATGTACCAAAAGTAGATGGATTATTGAAGAAAATCCTAAAATGAAAGGTGTAATTTGGTGTGCACTTAAAATACAAGACAAATCCAACAGAGGAAGTACATATTTAGTGCCATATTAACACCAATTGTACCATTATGTTGTATAAATAAACTTGAATGACTTCTTTTGTACATGTATGTATACAGGGTATATTATTAGTTAATTTTGATATGAAAGTGGTACAATTTATGAGAAATTTATAAATGTAAGCAAATTTTTTAGCAAATTAAATTTAAAGCTATATGAATAGATTAATAGTGTGTGTTATTGCTAGTCCATTTTTAGTATCATTGCCCATAAGTACATAAAGAACAACCATGTGCTACTTTATTTTTTGGTGGGTCTAATAAAAAAAGTTGCTACTAGCTTTTAGATGATACAAAATTGAAACTATTTCTGCCATATAATCAAATTGTAATGTGCCAACAATGCATGGGTTCATTATTATATGGTTTATTAATTTATGTATGGGTAGTACTATTTGACGTCTTCTACAATTTACGAGCAAAGTAAAGATACATACTGGTCTAAAAAATCGAGGTGATGCAAAATAGAATCGATCATGAATTAAATTGGTCAGTGCTTCTTTCTTCATAAATTTGATGGTCTATATATATGCTTCTCTCAATTTAAATTAAGCAGTGATGAGAGACCATACTTTTATAAATTAAATCACATTATTATATTATTTATAATTATGAGATGATATGATGTATGTACGTGGGTGACAACAATTCTTGACAACTAATTTAAACATAATCAATATTTTAATTGAATATTTAATTAAGTTGATTTCAAAATTATTGTATATTATAAACTAATGGAGACAAAAAGAAAATTTAAAGTTCTATAAAAAGGATATACGTGTACAACTTTATTTCCTTAAAAAAGAGTAGTGAGATATACGTAGAGCAACCGTACCATAATACGCGACTACTAGCTAAGCCACCTAGTATGACAATGCAAATCAATAAAGACTTCTAATAGTAACTTTACCCTAATTATTATTTAATTAGTGATTTTATCAGAAAATTAAACTCAAGTATTCTTTTCTTCAATCACAAGTAAATTTTCTTGGGGAAACAACATGATACACACCAAGTTCCTACCACCAAAATACGTAAAATGACCTAGAAAATGGTCCAATTGGCTTGAAACGAAGATTGGTAAGACAACAAAACCAGAACCACTACCACCACCACGGCGACTCCCCAAGGGAAAGAGGCAGCCAATTGATACATCGATGTTGTTTGCGACCCAAGTTTCTTTGTATGAGAGAAGAATTGAGAATAGAAGTCCCCATTCATAAATAAGAACACTACCAGAACAACCAGTATTAATGGAATTAAAATCATCGAAAATGACACGTTACTTTCGAGCTGAGCCTTGTAGTCACCATTGGATGAGAAGGATAATAAAAAAATAACGATAGCAAAAACGGCTAGTAAACGAAAAGGAAGGGTTGATATGGACAAAAGTGTTTGGTTTGTCCACCCTTCATCTCTCCATTCTTGTCCCCTTCTTCTAATTTGTGTACATGACTCCATTTCTATAAATATTTCTAGCTACAAATTGGTCTTTCTTTTTTAATTTTGTACAACGTAATAATAACAATTTTGGCGAGCTATATATATACACTAAGATTAATGTACAAATACACTTTTTGTACATGAAAAAAATAGGGGGTGTGTCGTATATTTTTTGGGATTACAAGTTGGTTTTGGTATAAATGCGTATTTGAGTATAAAAGAAAACCCTAATGGTAGAATTCTTGCCTCAGCTTTTGTTAGTGATTAACTTTGCCTATACGCAAAACATTGATACCGACATATAGGCATCATAGTCTGCTTTATTTGTACTTACGTACGTATATATTTCCATATTATACTAAGAAAAATAAAAGGCATTCCAGCATGAACATGGTATTAGCATGGCAATAATTGTTACTTAAAAAGAATATAAATATCGAATGTAGACAAAGTCCGATAACATGGACATATAAAATCAAGTAGATCATAGGAATATAATATTATAAACGTAGTATTATGCATTTATGCATTTGAACCAAAAGCAATAGGAAAAACAATAATATACACAAAAAGCAACCTGTATACAATGACACTAGACAAATTATACAGTACAAATTAATTTATATATAAGCAATGGATAAAACAATAATATTATACACGTTTTCCAAAGGAGATATGTAAGAAACTAAGGAATCTAGAATGGATCGCGGAATTAATATAAGCAGCGCAGATGATTAGAACCATTCGGTATTTGTTACAAGGTATCCCTTGAATGTAGGTAAAAATATTCATCTCCTATGATCAGATGACAATATGAAACCATTCAAGCGTCTTCAACCTTGGTGAAATAAACCTTGTGTTACAAGATGAGCCGCGGTAGAAGCAATAATCGTGGTTGGATCACCAAGAAGAATGGAGAACAGAGTGCTCAAGAAAATCTTGAGTATCTCCAACCACTTGTTCCTAGAATATGCACCACCTTTCTTGGACTTAGCTATAAGAGGTAGCTTCATTTTCTGATATACTGCCAAAGAAGAGTCTCCTCCAGTGGTTGCATTAAGATTGGAGGAGGTGGAAGAGCTTTGCATGGCCATTTCCATAACGCAAAAGACATGGAAATTATAGTCATCATATTTAGATACATACGACCATCCAGGAATTTTCTTTTTCGCACCTGTTATATTAGATCTTGTTAAATTCAATTCATCTCCATATTTTAAAAACAACCATTTAACGACAAATGGTGTATTTAAAAATAGAGGAAGCATAGTAACATTTTTCCTTTTATTTCCTCTATTTTTTTTTCTTTTTCATCCTAATGGAACAAAGAAGTAAAATTTCATGGAAGGTGCCGGGAAAGCGATAGATAACTAGAAAGTCTAAATTATAATCTAGAAATAATCAAGTATAAAATGACCTACGACTCAAAAAAAAAAAAAAAAAAAAAATGACCTAGTCAACATTTGTAAGTTCAAAAGAAATTGTCTAATTTTATTTTTAAAGATCCTGTTTTCTAGTTCTAGACTTCTAGCAAAATTCACAAGAATAACATATAATTAAGTTACGTACTACATACTCCGTAATATATTATATACCCTTTTGTGCTACTAATTTAAATTATTGATCCATACAAATATATAGCTAGTATATGAATTGAACATATACGTACAAAATTAACGAATAAAAAGAAGTAGCACACCCAATGATAAATTATATACGGAGAATATACAATATAAAATATAGTCAAAGGGGGAAAGAGTAGTGTACTAACCGTTGAGCAGCTTCCTTTTACACCAAGCACAACTAGATGGTCCTTGCTTCTCAAGCCAAAAAGTGACATCTCCAATGCTAATTTTACTCTCTAGCTTGGCACATCTAGGGTGGAAATCGAACCCCGTCTTAGAGCAATGATACACGAACCCCTTAACCGCCATCCCACACGCGTCACAGCTCCTACACTTGGTGCAATCAACCCTAGTGCAATCAGGTCCGGGGAGGGGTCGTTCGAGAAATCGATATTTATGCTCTTGAATTTTTAGCTTAGGGGGTGCAAACATGCATTCTTGGTGTAAATCATAGTTACAACCTTCACATCTGTATCTTAGCCCCATGCCTTCCATTTTGCACCCGTCACATGTGTATGCACCTTGGCGATTGACCGCCACGAGTGGATGCTCTCGGTGACTTGGATGAATACTCCGTTTGTTACTCGTCATGGTTCAACTCAAAACTTAATCCTAGGTAACACATATAAAAGCTAAGATTAGTAATATACTATATCGATCAACTCATACTCAAAATCAAGAAAATAAGGACAATTTTTAAGTACGTACATATAATATATATATACTAGATTAAGATTAAAAAGATGTATAGGACAATATTAATATAATACCTTTTGTAATAGAGAGTTTGTATCTTCAAGACTTCAATACCCTTTTGAATTAATGAATTGATGATACTCTTATGAATGCCTTAATATAACTATATATAGAAACCTTTTAGTGATTTAATTAAACACTTAAATACATAAAGTTTATCAATTAAATTACGTATAGGTCTGGTTTACAATTTCCCTTAAGGTTCACCGACATTTACTTGAAATTTCCCAAGGACAAAAGTCAAATACGTGTATGCAATGTGAATAAATGTCATTTGAAATGTTGCTAGATAGTATGACGATCGATCTTAATAAACATATAATTATTATCCAAATTTTATCATTTTTTTTAATTATTAACTTTGGTTTTGTTAATGGAAGATATGACAGGGAAGTTACGAGGTTTTTAATTGATCAAAGAAGTTGATGAAATGTTGTTTTCAAAGAGCGAGGGGTTTAACTATGTGATATCTCTTTGTTAGATAGCTACTTCTGGAAAAAATAATAATAATTAAATTTACATTACTGTATTATTTCTTGAAACACATACAACGCACTCCGCGCGTACTTATTATACTACATCTGACTCGATCCGATCAGATCCGATCCTTATCTTCATTTACATTTATTTTTTCTAGCTAATTAAGTAATTAAGCTCCGCTTATAACGTTTTGACCGATCCCTTAGATAGTGATTTGAAGTAACCGTGTACAGACGGTTTAGACCTTGTCCTATAAATCAATCACTACTATATACTAAAGTAATCACCAAGATTATCCCAAAAATACATGTGTCGCGCAACTTTGCGGAATTCACACTTTACCTTCTGCTTCAAATAAATTAATCCAGGACATCTTTGAACGCTGATCAAGACTTAGTATATTGCAGATTCTTTCGAAATTCTCTTGAAGCTTCAAATAAAGTGTGAAGTTTCCCTGGCAAATGGTGCTCCCACTTGATCCGAGACCCTGATCCCATATTTTTCCAAGTAATCCTTCTTGGAAGGGATAGTGGCTTGGCTGTCGACTGCCGAATATTGCGGGACATTGACTAAACTGTTTGAATTGGTTCAGTTTCGATTATAGGACTTTGACGAATTGGATCATCGATCGTTGTAGTTGTAGTCGTAGTCGCAGTCACAGTTGCAGTCGTAGCTAGGTTGGGATGCGAGCTTGAAGGAACTGAACGATTATCATCCGTAGTACTAGGAAGTGCGAGGGAGAGCACAAGATCAACCGTAGTAGTACTTGGAAGTGCGAGAGAGAGCGCAAGATCAGCCGCGACATTATGATGATGATCATCCACTTCTTCAATTGCAGCAATTAGGTTTCTTTTTCTGTTGATATCTTCTTGATAGTCGACATCATGATGATCATCTTCAACCGCCATTCTTTTTCGGTTTTCCATGATTAATTTTTGACGTAACCAACTATTTTGTAGAATCTTGGATTTGTGTATGTGTTAATTATTGGCGAAAGAGAATGTTTTGGTTGTTGGATTTCGTTTGGTTGTTTATTAGTGTCAAATGGGAAACTAAGGTCGGTTAGTCAAAAAAATATTTGTACTCATATATAAACTAATGTCAGTTAGAAAATATCTATACTAATATTTAAAGTAAGAAAAAGATATATACTCATGTACAAAAAAATAAAATAAAAACTGGTGTCTTTAGCGTGATTATTCATAAGAAAATTACACCCATTTCAATAATCGAATTAAAAGACAAAATAACTAACCTCCAATTAACAAGCTTAATTAGCTAATAAAGTCTCTAGCTAGTGTTGTGCTCATTTTGTTATTTAAATGCATTTTCTTGATGTTATAATCTGTGATGCACAGACACGCCACCTGACAGGAGAGTCCGAGTCGACACGCGTGTCGGACACGGACACGGGTGGGACACGGGGCGACACGTGTCCGACACGCAGAAAATCGTGTCCGTTTTTTTTTTTTAAATTTTGATACTTGGACACGGACCGTGTCACCCCAAGACACGGCCCGTTTTGTATTGGACACGCGAAATACAATACCCTCACTGACTCATGCTCTGCCTCTCCCAACTTCCCAAGTCTCAAACTCTCAATCCTCTCATTCTCTCACTAACTCATACCCTAAGTACTTTGTAGCTCGTCGTCGTCGCCCGTCAGTCGTCACCGCCGGCCGTTCGGTCTCACAACCGCTGTCACATTCAAACGTCTGTCTCTGATCTGCTAGCTGCGTCTCTCACCGAGTCACCGTTCGTTGCTGTTTAGGCTTGTCACCTGCTGCTCGTGCTAGGCTGCTAGCCTTCTCTCACCGTTGTTCGTCCTCAGCCACCGCCCACCAGGCCACCAGTCTCCAGCTCACTGTCGTCTGTCGCCTGTCGTCCGTCGCGCGTCAGCCACCAGGTATGGTTCTGAGGTTCTCTACTTTGTTTTTTTTTTTTTAAATTCAATTAATTTTCTAATTTTCGATTGCTCCTTCATGTATACATTCAATTAATTTTCTGAAATTCAATTGCTCCTTCATGTATACATTCAATTAATTTTCTGAAATTCAATTGCTCCTTCATGTATACATTCAATTAATTTAACTTTAACTTGATTAGAATCAGGAACAAGCGTGCATAATTGATCCTTCATGTATACATCCTGTATACTGTAATGAAAATGAAGAACTGAAAATTTGATTTTTGATACTTTGATGTATACTGTATAGTTGGCTAGTTGCTGGACTTGTTGGACTTGTTTAATTAAACTTTAATGCATTTGATATAAGCATGAAAAACTGAAATTGTATTGTTGTCTTGTTGAAATTCTCAGGAATGTCTTCTAGTTCCTCTGCTTCATGCAATGTCAGTGGTAGTAGTAATTCATCTGAGTCTATGAAAGACCCCTACCCTTGTGGAAGTTTGTGGTTAAGGGTGATAAAACATCGGGTGGTGGAGGAAATTATAAATGGAAATGTAACTTTTGGAAAATATGAACCCGAGATGGCCGAGCTCTCACTTGATGAACCCGAGATGGAAAATATGATTTTTGATGATGTACTTGGTGATGGTCAAGAATGAAACTATTAGTACTTATGTTTATCTTATTTATGATTTGTAAAACTATTATCAAGACATGTATTTGGTTTTATGGTTTCTTGATATGTATGAGATTATGTTTGTACACTTTGTTTATTTACTTGTTTAAACAAAATTGTGTGTTTTGAGGCTAATTATTTAGTGTTTTATTGAATAGGTTGTCAAATTCTCGTTTTTTTGATATATTATATGCCTTGATATACGCCGTACCCGTGTCCCCTATTTCAGGATTGCCGTTTTCCCGTGTCCGTATCGTGTCCGTGTCCGTATCTGTGCAACATAGGTTATAATTGGCTCCTTCATTGATAATTGAGTTAGTTTTTCCGCTACTAAATTCTGAAATAGGCTTAACGTTTGAACACGTGACGGTAACACGTCAGTAGTCCTCTTACATTTTATTAAAAATATTTACAGGTTTGTAAGAGAGAATTATTGGGGTGTTACAAGATTAGATACCGTGATTATGATGATTAGGAAAAAAAAAACATATATATTCACTTAAATAATGATTTACAATTTGCACCAAAAAAAAGTAATGATTTATAAAACAAAATTGTACTCATAATTATTTTCATAGCAAAATACATGGTTGTTTCTCACTGAATTATATTTGTTCGAATCCTAACCCTACACCTCCTCCTACTACTACGGATGTCAACAGAAAAAGGAAAGCAATTGCTATTGAAGAAGATGATCATTAACCAGATCTTACTCTCAGTCTTTTTCCTCCTACACAGAGTTCGAATCCTAACCCTATTCCTCCTACTAATATAGATGATGTTCGAGGTCCTACACATGAACCCGACGACACGACAATCAAGTTGATCCCTTCAATGAAGTTCTTGGAAGGACAAGGAATCAAAACTGTAATTGGTCATGTCGAGTGCATTAACTTAGTTGCAAGATAATTGCGACTTGTTGTAATTTAGTTGGATTCGTGACAAAGTCATAAACCGCTAGAAGTCCACTAACCTCGAATCGTTCCAGTTTAGGAGCATTAACCACAAACTTGCTGTGAATGGACAACAACGACGATTTATCCATTTCGATATTCAAGTCCTTCAAATTCGGGGCAGATATGTGAATAAAGTGATCATGTTCGTTTAAATGAAGAGACAAAAATAAATACTCTAGTAAAGGGCAAGACCTAAAAAGAGTATCCATAAGACGACGTTGTGAGTCGAATAAATTCATGTGAAGCTTCTTCAAATTAGGAAGATTTACTCGGAGATTATCCTTAGGAAAGTAAAGCTCAACATTTGCAATTAATTCCAGTGTAACAAGTGATTGAGTTTGAAGAAAACTAACGGGTACATGTGGCAGGTCGTCAAGCAATCGAATAGGATTCGAGTCATGAAAAATCACCATGATTACCTCCGGGTTACGATGGGAGACAAGCTGAATCCAGGGAGCAACACAGGCTATGCAGTCCCTTAACTCTGAGTAAAACGTCGTCGTGTCATCAGTCTCTTGATCTAGTAAAAGGGTGTTAGGGAAAGGGAAATGAAGGCGAAAGGTGTGGAGTTTCGAGGAGGAGAGCTGGAAGAGAATGTGATTGACGGTACTCTTGAAATCCCGGAAACTACGAATTCGTTTCCTACACATCAATGGTCCAAAGGAGACATGGGTGATTTGGGTCCAGAGATAGCGCCAACACGGAGGTGGCAGCCGCGGAACCGATTGGAACAAGAGAGAGTATACTGATCAGAAGACTATCAGGAAGGAAGCTTAATCTATCTGTTTCACTACAAGAGAGAGTATGGTTAAAGCTCATGATTTCGGGCATCTTCCAAAATGTGCCCGGCAAAATCTTCTTCTTCCTCGGGGCATCGTGGAGACGAATTATTTATTTATTTTGACAGGGACGAATTATTGATGTTTAGGGTTTCAATCTAATAGATAAAAGCAGTACTGTATATATATATAATTTTTGAAAAACTGTATATATTTATAGTAAAAAAGCTATTAAATATTAAAAGCTCAATTTAATAAGATTTACCCCGTCAAAATAAATAAGGTCTCAAAGAATTTATCAGATATA